TAATATATATAATATAATATGTATATATATATTAAATTATATATTATATATATATTTATAATATATTTAATATTATTATAATATAATATATATAATATATATATATATATATATATATATATATATATATATATATATATATTATATGTTTAATATATATTAACATATATTTATATATATATTATTTATAAATATATTATATATTATATAAATATATATAATTATAATATATTATATTCATATATTATATTTATATATACTATATATATATATATATATAATATATAATATATAATATATATATATATTATATATATCATAATATATATATATATATATATATATATATATATATATATATACTATATATATATATATATATATATATATATAATATATATATATATATATATATAGTATATATATATATATATATATCTATAGTGTTCTATATATTACATATATTTTATATATATTATTTATATAATATTATATAATATATATATATAATATTATTACTATATAATATTATATATAATATTAAATTAATCTATATTATATCTATATTATTATATGTGTTTATTATATAATATATATATTTAATACTATAATATTAAATTATATATTATATATTATATATATATTATATAATATATATATATTATATAATATATATATATATATATATATATATATATAATATAATTATATATATATTTATTATTATAATAAATAATAATATATATTAAATATATTATATATATATATATTATATATATATATATTATCTATCAGTAATTTACTGTAGCATCTAAAGGCATGACAGTGATCTTGGGTCCTCCTATAATTATAGAGAATAGATGTATTATATTAATATTATATTATTTATAAATATTTATATTTAATATATTAATCTGTATATTAATCTTATAATTTATAAGGGCATAATAGCATCAATATCCAACCTACATCCTCTCTCAATTGTATGATTTCACGAATTCCTAAAATATAATAGTTTTTTATTATTTGGGGATTCAATATCGCTATAAATTGGTTTTGAAAGTCAAACATGGTTTATGGATTCTGTAAACCCAAAAACTTGTAAATCACCTTATATGCCCAAAAGAAGTTGAAACAAAAGAGATGATTTCACAAATCCTAAAAATATATTATTTTTTTATAATTTAGGGAGTCAATATCCCAAAAAAAAAGTGAAACAAACAAAGTTTAAGGAATACCAAAACTCAAAAAAAAGCACTTTTTACATCCCAAAACTTGATATCCACCCTATATCCCAAAATAAAAGTGAAACAAACACCCCCTAAGCATATCCCACTCTATCTCCTTATTTGTTATCAATTATCAACATCTTCATGGTCGTGATCATCTTCTTCTCTCCACCATGAGACTACCCCAAACAATGCAAGTACATTTGCTCGGACAAATTTTCAAAACCACCCTATTTGAACATTTAATCTCAAAAAACGACCTGTTTTGAACTTATTTGCAAAAACCAACATGTTTTCAGCATTGGCGCTGAAACCAAGTCAGTTTTTGTGAAAAAGCTTCCGAAACTTCACGGGATTTGAACTCCCGTGAAGTTTAGTAAAGCTGCTAAACTTTACGGGAGTTCAACTCTCGTGAAGTTTCATAGTTCAAATTTTTTTTTGAACTATGAAACTTCACGGGAGTTGAACTCCCGTGAAGTTTAGCAGATTTACTAAACTTCACGGGAGTTCAACATGGGAGTTCAACTCCCATGAAGTTTCGGAATTTTTTTTTTCAAAAACCAACCTGGTTTCAGCGCCAGGGCTGACACCAGGTCGGTTTTTGAAAATAAGTTCAAAACAGGTGTTTTTGGGATTAAATTTGGAAATAGGTTGGTTTTGAAAATCCGTCCACATTTGCTCCTTTCCTCTGTTTCTTCGGACAAATTTTCAAAACCAACCCCTTTCACTATTTATTTTCAAAAAACGACGCTTTTGTACTTATTTTTAAAAACCGACCTGGTTTCAGTTCTGGAGTTGAAACCAGGCGGTTTTTAAAAAAATTTATCCGAAACTTCACGGGAGTTGAACTCCCGTGAAGTTTAGCAGATTTTTTAACTTCACGGAAGTTCAGTTTAATTTCTTAAAAACCTCACGCGAGTTGAACACCCATGAAGTTTTAAAAGTGCTGATAAATTACATGGCATGTTCACACTGTTAGCACCTACTAACCTCAGCTACTAAAAAAGGGAAAAAAGAATGAGTAATGACATCTGATGGATGGAGAAAGAACGATGACTTGCGAAGTTTTAAAACTTCTTCCCGCAAAAGACAAAATTATTTCACTTCCAAAACTTCTTCCAGCATATGACCAATCTTTGTTTTCCCTCTTCAATGCAATCCAAACTCAAAATCAAAGACACAACTTTTAACCCAGCCCCCACCAACTTCAGTTCTTCATTTGACACAACAGAAACGATAACGTTGACGAGGTTAGGGACGAGGTCGGTGGAGGGGAGGGGGATCATGGTGGCAGGGCAAGTGGTGTTCCCGGAGTCGAGTCAGTGCTGGATCGACCGGCGATCGTAGGTGACGCCGGTGCAGAGGCTGACGGGGGAGCGCATGACCTCAAGGGAGATTGGGCAGCGGAAGAAGGAGGGGGTCTTGATTTCGAGGCGGGGGCTGCTGAGCTGCTTCTCCCTATTTATCTTTCTTTTTTTCCCGGGGTGTTTTTTGGTGATTTTGATCAGTTTCTCCCAATTTATATTTAGGGGATCGTGGAGTTTTTACACTGTAACAAACTTCACGAACTCCCGTAAAGTTTTAACGGTTACTTAAAATTTTGCTAAACTTCACGAGAGTTGAATTCCCTTTAAGTTTCTGAAAAATGTTTTCAGAAATCGACCTGGTTTCAACGCTGAGGCTGAAACAAGGTCGGTTTTTGAAAAAAGTGTAAAATAGGTCGTTTTTTAAAAATAAAAGTTCAAACATGATTGTTTTGAAAATTTGTCCCTGATTCTTCTCGTTCTCTTCTAGAATCTTCTCGTGCAACCCCAGAACCTCCGTCGCCCATGTAAACTTCCTGAGAATCAGAAAGTGGGTTTGCACCCCTTAATGCTGGCAAGGAATTGAGAAGGGGAGGTGAAAGGAGGGGAGGGAAGAGGATGGAGGCATAATCTCTACGGCAAAGATTGAGTTGGGTGGTGGGATTAAGATGGGAGCAGAGAAGGTTAAGGAGGAGGTTAAGAGTAGAGATGGAGCGGTGGATGAGTCCATAAGAAGGAAGGGAAGAGGAAAAGGAGAAGTAAGTTTGGGTTTGTAACGCTGAACAGGTTTTAGTTTCTAAACGGGTATGAATTTGATTGATAATGGGTTCGAGCTCGTGACAGAGGAATGGAATGGTCGATCGGTCCCTCTTATATATAATAGTTAAATAACCAAATATTCCATTCAAATCAAACAGCCCTAACCAGGGGGACAAATTTCAACACGGCTATATGATTCGGAAAATGATAGGGGCACACCCTCAACCATAACCTTAATTACACCATTCTCTCATTTGCACCGGGCCCCACATGAGATTTTAAAATTTTAAAATCCCATGTGGGATCCGGTGCACTGTAACAAATGAGAAAGGAGGTGTGGTTGAGGTTGTGGTTGGAGGTGTGCCTCTAGTACCACCCATATGATTCAGAGCACTAATATCAAAATATAAAGATTAGACTATTGAAGATTTAAGAGACTAATGTCGAAAAATCCCTTCTAAAATTTTGATGGGATGTGGGTCATGAATGTGGGTAACTATCCGAATCCGTACATCTGAAAATTTGAATTGATAAAGGGTAAACACTAATTGACCTTGAATTGATGGATTTCTGTTTGATTTTCATGACCTCTGTATCTAACAAATTTGTTGGCATGCTGAATTTGTTGGCGAACTATAATTTAAGAAAATTTCTTTTATTTGGACTACACTTTGTTAGTCTAAGTGTAGATCAAAAGCTCAAGCTGAAGCTAGAATCAGGAAGACGAAGCAAAACGAAGGAAACATGAAAATTGCAATACAGTCGACCGCGATGGTCTCGGCGGTCGACCGCGAACGTGCACGGGACAGGAAAAGGTCTCTGGACTTTTTTCGGTCAATTGCGACGGTTGGTGCGGTCGACCGCGCCTGGACCCTGGACCTAAGTAAGTCTCTGGACTTTTTCCGGTCATCCGCGACAGAAGGTTCAGTCGACCGCGAAAACCCTATAAGCGCAGTCTGGGTTCTGTCGTTTATCCGGTCGATCGCGACTGGTTCGACGGTCGACTGCGAGTCGAGCTGGCAGTTTTCTAAACTGTTTTGGATTATGTTTTGATTCAGATTGATATAAATACCCAAACGTTTTTAGGGTTTATTAGTCCATCAGAAACTATCTGAAAGAGAGTTTTTAGAAAGAGAGAATCCCAGAGAGATTAAACCCTAGTTTAAGTGCTTGTATTCCTTCTTCAATTAATCAAAGAATTGTGTGGTGTGGCTCCCGAGTACGTAGGCACGTTGCCGAATCTCGTTAAATCTATGTGTTCGTCTCTTTTACTATTCTTGTAAGTTTTGATCTTTATTTATGGTGAATTTCTTTCTTGTTCAACTTTCTAACAAGATCCGGAAGGATCGATTTGACTGTTTCGAATCCCAACGCTCTTGTATCTTACAGGTAACGCGTAAACTTTTTGAGTTTTATCAGTTTTGTCTTGGGGTGGCACTAGGGACACACCCCCAACCATATCCTAAACCACACATCCTCTCTCATATGCTATAGTACACCGAGCTTCATATGAGATTTTAAAATTTTAAAATCCTATGTGGGGCCGGTGTACTGTAACATATGAGAGAGAGAATATGGTTTGAGATGTGATTAGGGGTGTGCCCCTATCATTTTCCTTTGTCTTGTAGCTGATATGACTTATTTTCCAGTCATTTCATTCGTATCCATTTGGAATTTTGACTAGCACGGATATGAGAAATTCATTAAGAAATTGTGTATTTTTACAGTTATTAGAACCGAAGAAGAAACCATTAAACCCAAAAGCCGCCATGTTTTCAAGAACGAGTACCACCTTCCCTTTAGCCAAACTCCCTTCTCCCTCTCTCTCCTCTCGCTCTCTCTCCTCATTCCCATCATCCACAGCCTCCCTCATCCTCTCTCACCTCAATTCCAACGACACTTCAGCAGCAATCTCCACCCTCCTCTCCTCTCTCCCCTCTTCAACCTCCCCTCCTCCCCCTTCACTCCTCAACCCCATCTTCTCCTCTCTCTCCAAAACCCACCAATTCCAATCCGCCATCTCTCTCTACAACTCCCTCCTCCATCACAAAATCACCCCTGATCTAATCTCCGCTAACATAGTTCTCAACTGTTACTGCCAAGCTCACCAAATTGACCATGCCCAGAAACTGTTCGACGAAATGCCGCAATGGGGCTTGTCACCCGATCCCGTCTCATTTAACACTCTTGTTAAAGGGTATTGTAAAGAGAACCGGGTTGGTGATGCTTTTCGGGTTTTGGAATGGATGAAGAGGAAAGGGTGGAGCCCGAATGTGTACACATATTCGATGCTTATTGGGGTTGTTTCTCGAAAGGAGAGCATGGATTCCTTAATGGGTTTGAAGCTTATGACAGAGATGATGATGGGTGGAGTGGAGCCGAGCGGGGTGAATTGTAATTGTGTGCTTGCTTCATTGTGTAAGGAGAGGAAAATTATTGAGGCGAGGTTGGTTTATGGGTGGATGAAGAAGGCAGGGATTGGGGTTGATATTGTGAGCTGCACTTGTTTTCTTGATGTTTTCTGTCGGGAGAGGATGTTGGTTGAAGCAAGATTGCTTTTTGATGAGATGCCGGAGATGGGTGTTGCTCCGAATTTGATTACATGCAATACCTTGATTCATGGGTATTGTGTGAGTGGGAAGTTGGACGAAGCTTTGAAAATGCTTGATGATATGGTTAAGAATGGTCCTAGTCCGAATATAAAGACATTTACGATTGTGATAAAGGGGCTTTGTGTAGGTGGGAAGCTAGAGGAGGCGATAAGGGTAATAGACATAATGACTCAACAGGGGATCAACCTTGATAAGTTCATATATTGCACCTTGCTTGAAGGTTTATGCAAAATAGGCAAGTTGGAGGATGCAGTTCAACATTTTCATCAAATGGGAGAAACCATGGAATTTAATGATATTGTTGCTTATAATATCTTGATTAACGCATTTTGCAAAATGGGCAACATGGAGAGGGCCAAAGAGTTATTTATGGAGGTTACTGATAAAGGATTGAGCCCTGATTTGCGTGCGTACACAACCTTGATTGACGGATTTTGTAAGATCGGAAACATTGAGGCTGCACAAGAAGTGGTAAGGGACATTCAGAAGAACGGTGTTAAGCCTGACGTAATAATGTTCTCTGTATTGATGGAGGGGTTTTGTGAGGCTAAAAATTTTGAAGCTGCAGAAAATTTACTGTGTGATATGGCACGGTATGGTCTTGAACCGAACATGGCTATCTATACCACAATGATATTTGGTTTGTGCAAGTCCGGGGATATGGATCGGGCCTTGCACTTTATGAAAGAAATGACAGAAAAAGGGCATCAGCCCAATGCCAAAACTTATATGAGACTGTTCAAGTGAAATGTGTAGGTAAGGAAAGCCTTTGTCATGCCAAGAATTAGCTTTATTAAATGAACATACAAACAAACGATTAGCTAATCGGCTTGAGAAACCGAACTGTCATCAAGGAAAATATCGGTCCTCAGGAAGAACATTACATAGCATGAAGCATGATACAGAAGGTATAACAGTGTGTTAGCATGAAGGAATTTCTTGAAAGATAGAAATTTGCCTTTTGAATAGTTCATTCAGGGGAGGGGAGAAATTTGCCTTTTGCATGAATTTCTTTCCATAGACAACTGTGATATGAACAGCTTGCTATATTCCTAAGTTATGCTACTGAATAAGGAGGGGGGAGAACTGGAGACATTTTTTTTAATGTTTGGTAGAATTTTGCACCGTACAGATTAGAAAAAATTGCATATTTAGCTTTTGAAGGTGTCTTATTTTTCTGTTAGTTGATTTATTTGACGGTATTGCTGTAAAAAATTCAACCAAAACCTTTGCTTGCTTACAAGGCTATATGCAAAATTCCAGAGGTTGCTAGTGATTTCTTCCAGTAAAAGGCCATGAGTTAACCAGAGCACCATCTATCACATAAAGTTTGGTCATCTTCACAGAGTATGTAGTGGAGCCTGCAAATAGTTCTTCTTGTCTCTTTCTTGCTGCTTGATTTCTATAATATTACTTTAATATCCACTGGTTGCTCGGGTTGATTCTGCTGGATTTCCTTTTCATGTTCTTGATATACTTTGTATAATCCATTTTGGAGGTATCTCTTCTTCTCAATATCTTGCTTTTACTTGCATATAAATCTTCTTATAAGTAGTCATTTTAGCAAAATCGTAAAGATTATCTTATGCTGATGTGTGGACTTTTAAGTATGCACGCTTTAAATTTACTGTCTCTTGTTCTTTTTTATACCTTTGTTCTTTTAATTTTTTGTCTTGCTGCTTTATTTTGGTGATCTGTTCATCTAGTCATGCTCTTGTGTTTGGGTTCCAAAGATATTCACATCAGACAGTCTTGTGCTATATTCTTCTGAAGCCTGCTTCTTATGTTCATGGAATAAAGCAGAAGTAATTTCGTACTAAATTTGAGAAAACAATTTCGTACTAATTTGAGAAAACGTGCAGTATATTTGTAGGGCATTTCTTAGATTTTTGAATGAAGGAAAACCTCAAGCCTCAAGGCAACGAAGGTTAGAGTCCTTCGCATTTTCTCATACTAGTTGTCACTATATACTACTGCATCCTTAGACCAAAGCCCCCAGTAGCCGTAGGTATGCCCAACAGCCTCCTGAACTTTGCGCTCACCCTTGCTCCCAAGGTCACTCTGACCGTGATTAGGGGGTACTATGTCAAACGTCAAAGATTATTCTTTCTGAGTATTTTTTTCCCTTTCGTTTTGGTTATTGTAACTAAAAGGAATCCAAGCTATATGTTACCATATCTTAAACTAGCCTAGAATTCAACAATCCCATCTAAAGGATTTTTGTGAAGTAGAATAGGTGGTGATTATCAGTATTGTGTTTGATTGATACCGTAGAGGAGCAAATGACCATAGATGTATCGGTGTGCACTTATGTGTGGTTAATATTTTTATACCATGATATACGCATTTGTGAAATGTGATATTGCACAACTATGTTACTATGCATATAGGATTATAAAACCTTAGATGTTTATTCCAAATTGCAGGAATCTTTATCTATATTTGGATGAGAAAAGCTAAGCCGAACAAAATGTGTCAATCCTCAATATCACTATAGAGTTTAAACCTAGATCAATATTTTTTTTAGCATAGCAGATATACTACAAAAAGGCATATGATATAACTAGTTGCAAGAGTTCATAGGGAGGCAGCATCCTGAATTTGTCGTACTAAAGAGACATCTAATGGCCAGCTGATGAAGATAAATGTATCAGGGAAAAAACATAGATTAAATGAGCCAGATGAGATTCTTCATCATCATCAAAAAAAAAAAAAAAAAAAAAAAAAAAAAAAACAAAAAAAAAAAAAAAAAAAAAAACGAAACAAACACAGATCAAATCTTAACAGTAGAAAAACAATTCGCAGTATTAGTCCTGTTCTTCAAAAACACAGTAATATCACAATTCACCAGTGACGTCGCATGAATCTTGAAAATCTTCAGTATTATCGCATCACCCTCCACTGTTGACCCTGAAGTCATGTTCAACATCCCCGTCATCACATCAGGCAAAAAGCTAGGATTCGATGCCATCTTATCTATCTCCAACTCTATCAGAGTACTTATATTCTGTGTTGACCTAGCTTCAATCTCTCCTGCAGGGATTGGAGCCTCACCAACAGAATTTCCCCGGTAATAGATCGTAGTACTTGTATTTTTATACTTCAATCCTGCGTAATTCCTGTTTTTGATGAAGACATCGATTCCAAGGGTAACTTCTAGAGTTATAATAGGAAAGATACCGAACTCAATGTGCTGGAGATTGACAGGAGTTGCAACTACTTCTGGCTGTTTTGGCTTGAGGAGTGTGAAGTACAGGATAACTAGGGTTACAATGAGGAGGAGGATGATGGTTGTTGTTACAATGCAGCAGGTTATCAAGCATTTTCTTGCACTGGGCTTCATTTTTCTTGGTTTTTTTATTTTGGTTGGTTATGTTAATTTTTGGAGGTTTAAGTAGAGTTGAGGGAAGTTTTGTTGGAGGCTTGTGATGTTGGTGTAGATTAAGGCAAGGTGTTGGTGGAGTAGTATATGTGAGTTTTATGGGTTCATGTGTTTGTTTGTTTTGCAGACTTCATGTTCTCTGTTTTGGCTAATTCTTCGGTTGATCTCGGCCGTGGATTTTGTGCTGAGGATGACATCAAGGGTGATGATGGAGTTAGAAGTTAATTTTGGTATTTAAAACAAGGACGTTTCATGATGCACGGGATGGTTGGAAACGCTTGAAACTGAACAATTAAAGACGAGAGAGATGAATGCTATAGACTTTCATTCTTTGTTCTAATTGAGCAGGATTTTGCCATAAAAGTTTCCAAGTTTGAAACAATTATTACGGATCCATTCTTTATAGTTAAATAAGTAAAATAATAATAATAATAACAGCTTGCGCTTGAAAACTCCTTGTTTTTCCCCTTGCTCTTCCCTTTTTTTTTTCCATTTTTTTTTTGGAAAACTTGCATAAGGGAAAAGGAAAATTCTTTTTGATATATAGAGTTCTCTGCATCAGATCACTTTTTAAATAAATTTTGATTTAGCACTAAACAGACTCATGTTAGCACTGCTTGTACTATGTTATTGGAAAAGAAAATTGCAAAAAAATTGTGGGAACCTTAGTCTTTGATTCTGTGGTTGGACAAGATTGGCGTTCTTTATGATTATGTGGTTGAGTGGAGTTTGTATCTCATTCTAACTCGCGGAAATTAGGACTAGGGTTAGAGTTATTTGGTTCCTCTATAAAATGTATTTTATTGGATAATGGAGACTGAAGACAGTAGGCTAGGGTTGAAGTGTAGGTTTTATTGATTCATAAAGAAGTCCGATTCTTCCCCCAATATCACAACACGATTGTAGAAGTTTCATTTTGGCAGAATCTTCCACTTACCAGCTCTCGGTTCTTTTAGTTCCTAGACTCAGTTGTCTTATTTTCAGATGTGTGTACTTTTCTCTCAACTCCTGGAGATAAACTGCTCTTCTGTTTTAGTGTAGTAGTAGGTCTAGCTTATAGTTCCATTAGAAGCTTGGTGATGACTGTCGTGTTATCTTTCTGGTTGTTATTTTTTGGCAGCCATTCCTTCTACTGTTGCAACTTTCATCGGCTTGTGATCTCTGGAAGGTTAGGAAACACTGCAGCTGTTATCTGGAGGGTGACGACTAGGGTCCGTTCCCCTTCGATAAAATCTTCTTCGGTTCCTATCCTCTTCACTTTTTTATAGTTTTTATGACCGTTTTGTATATTCTAGACTTTATTCTATATCAATATATATTTGAACAAGGAATCTCACCCTGTTTTCTGCTTAAAAAAAATTTATAGGAATTTTAATTTTAAGAAAAAAGGGTGAAGGAATGCAAAGGGAGCCCTGGTTCAGAGAGGAGCTGGGTTCAGGAGATAGCGTGTTCAAAATCAGACTAGACATAGTTTATATAAGAAGAGAGGCACACATCTCATGGTGAACGTGGACGTAAACTGTCAACAAAATACAAATCAAGCAGCATAAGAGATCCAGAGCAAACTACTTAGTTTTCCAGATTGAATTCTCATTGCTTGCCATATATCCTCATCTACAAGCCATGAATATTCTCATGACAAGAAGCAAAGTATTAGCCTTTTAATTAACACAAAAGCTCACCAACCCATCCCACCCTTTAATACAAAAATAGTCTTCATATGCTTTGCTCCAGAGCCTAAGATATCCAAAAGATGAGAAATGAACAAAGGGTGAGCCTAAAAGTCATCCATGAACTCCTATAAATACTTCACAAAGCCTCTTCCTCCCAAATCAAGCAAATAGTAATAATCCTAGCTAGGCTCAATCAACACCCAGTTTTCCAGCACTCGGGTTGCTCAGATTTGTTCTCATGGCAGGATTTCATTATTTGCTAGTTTTGAGCCTCGCTCTGGCTGTGTCAATTGCTGCTGGGGCAACCCAATTCAAGGTTGGTGGGCCCAAGGGCTGGTCAGTCCCAAACGACCCTAAAGAATACAGGCAATGGGCCGAGAAGCAAAGGTTTCAGATTGGAGACTCATTGTGTAAGCTTCTAAAGTATAAATTAATATATGATCAATGTGAAATTATGAAAAACCTTAAAACTTTAACTGGCGTTTCGTTATGAATATATTGCAGTATTTGTCTACCAACGAGACACGGACTCTGTTGCCCTCGTGGATGAGAGTTCTTACCGCAGCTGTGACACGTCAGCGTCCATCCGCACATTTGATGATGGGAACACGGTCTTTAAGTTTACCCGATCCGGCCCATTTTACTTCATTAGTGGTAACAAAGGCAATTGTCTCAAAAACGAGTCCTTGGTTGTTGTAGTTATGGCTGATCGCAGCAGCAGAACTAGCTTGGCCCCATCTCCTTCTTCCTCTGCTTCTCCTCCTCCTCCTCCCCCTCTAGGCTCAATGGTGTTCATGCCATCAACGACGAATCCTAACGAGGGATCAAATTCTTCTAACGGAGCTTCTCATAAGATGATGGGCTTGATGGCCTCAATTGGGGCGTTTATTGGGTCGCTCTTCTTTGTGCTGTGAGGCCCATTCACCTAAGTCGTGCATTGTACTATGTTGTGCCATTATTTATTTGTAATTTTTTTTGTTAAGTTTATTATTGGTATGATGGTCTTTGAATTCTATTATTGACGTATCTGGATTGATTGGTTGATTTTACTTCCCGAAAGGAAGTACGTTATATAGAGGGTGGATATCATTATTTCTTCGCGTTTATCCTTCTCTTTTATTTTCTTTTTGCCGTTTTGAATTAGCGAGTTTTGACAATTGGAATACTTGATATGTCATAATAAATACCCCCATATTAGACTAAAAATTTTACTAATTAATATGAATAGACTTGAGGTTGGTGATATTTTTGTAAAATTATAATGCAGCATAAACAAATGTGACCCCCACATCAAGAAGAAGAAGAAAAAAAAATGAACAATGATAATTAAATTTCAATTGTTGGATCTCAAGGGCCAGATATTTGGGAAGGGCCGAAACGGTGTAGTACCAGTGAGTCACATATTACTGTAACAAACAGGCCTCCAATACATTTTTCAAGATGCCAATGTAACAAATTCTAATCATTTCTGGTAGAAAGATATATTAGTTTTTCTCCGAGAGCTAAATATCATAAAACCCCCTTAACTTTGGAAATATCATAAAATCTGGGGTTATGAAAAAACCCTCCGTAACTTTGAGATTTTATCAGAACCAAGGGAAATTAGGGGGGTTTCCCACTAAAACATGAAAGCTAAAGGGGCTTTTGTGATAATCCCTATATTTAAATGGAGGGGGGGGGTCTATTTGATATTTCTCAACAGTATAGAACTTCTGATCAACCACGTATGTGCATTAGCATCCCATTTGACGAAGGGTTGTATGTGCATTAACGGCATCCCATTTGACAAAGGGTTGAGCGAGGGGCTAAGAAGGGTAACTTGCCAACACAAAAAAGTTACACATGGTATAAACTGAGTTACCCCTCATAATTTGTCGATCACTAAAAATAGTAGAATGATTTACAAACACCTCTAGAGATGTTAAAACGAGCTGACATATCAAAACGAGGGGTTTACAAATCCACCTATTTAGATATCATGGATCAAGAGACAACCCCTAATTTTAAAAAAAAAGTGATCATAATCTTTTATATTCTCAAACACAAAAAATGACCTAAATGATTAAAATAAATTAACCTAACGAATTAAAAATTTTAATCCTTTAGCTTAATAAATAGACTAATAACCCTTCTACTTTATCAGAACCAAGGGAAATTAGGGGGGTTTCCCACTAAAACATGAAAGCTAAAGGGGCTTTTGTGATAATCCCTATATTTAAATGGAGGGGGGGGGGGGTCTATTTGATATTTTGAAAGTTGAGGGTGGTTTTCTGATATTTAGCCTTTTCTCCAACTTTACATTTAAAACATCGTTGCCTCTTCTTTGTTAGGTGAAATTTTTTCACAAAAATTTCTTATTAAAAACACGGTAATGAAATCAAACTAGTGTTGTACGGCATATCGTTGTGCTGAAGCGACGAAGCCAGAGAGGAGCAATCTCATATGAGACCAGACCTTAGTCTGCAACTCCATAATTAATTGTCCATAAAAGGTAAAGGACTAACTCTAATATTTCTCAAAAGTATAGAACTTCTGATCAACCACATATGTGCATTAACATCCCATTTGACAAAGGGTTGAGTGAGGGGCTAAGAAAGGTAACTTGTCAAACACAAAAAAGTTACATATGGTATAAACTGAGATACCCCTCATAATTTGTCGATCATTAAAAATAGTAGAATGATTTATAAACACCTCTAGAGATGTTAAAATGAGCTGACATATCAAAACGAGGGGTTTACAAATCCACCTATTTAGATGGATCAAGAGACAACCCCTCTATTTAAGAAGAAAGTGATCATAATCTTTTATATTCCCAAACACAAAAAATGACCTAAATGATTAAAATAAATTAACCTAACGAATTAAAAAATTTTAATCCTTCAGATTTGTTATAGGACATATCTGTTCCACGAATATATGACTTGATAAGTCAGCATCTCAACCAGCCCAACAAGTCGACACCCCAGTGTCGGCGCGAGAAGCGATGACAGTCAACATGAGAGATCCTGACCTCCTAGATGAGTCGATATCGACTCGAGAGATAGTTTTTAGCTGAGACGAGAGGACATTCCAACCAGTCGGACATGCTGACACTCCTGAGTCGACGTAAAAGGCGGTGTCGGTAGACACGAGAGTCAGCAACTCAAAGATATGACCCTAAGAACCATGCTTCTCGACGAAGCTAAAGGGTTTCCCTCATTTCAAACCCGTCAGCATAGGTGTCACTTCTCAACATTGTATAATCTTTGATAGTCATCATTACGCCTCCGTCCCCAACAGTCTCGAAGACTTGTCGGCTGTCGGCTCCCAATGCTGCCGAAGTGATCTCCACTCCAGCCACTTACAAACCAACACGTGCAGAGCAAATGATGACTTATTTTCTAACTCACCGCCTCACTACCGTCTTACTGCATATTCATGAAGTGACCAATCTGCCCTCGACATCCCCTATAAATGCAGATGTTATTCGCTATAGCTAGAGGTTCGCAATCTAAAACCCCCAAGAGCATGCACTACACAAAAACAAGAACACATAGTTCTGTTACTCCACTTAAGCTCAAGTTCATCACCTGACTTGATCGTCGGAGGTACTATGAGGGAACTTATCCTCGCCCTCTTACGACTCATTGTGTGCAGATTGTTCAATCATCCTAAGTCCGGAATCAGACATAAAGTAGAAGAAGAAAACGGCCCATTGCAAACTCCGTGACTTTATTTGACCGTGTGATATTTAACCTCAACAAGATTAATAAATAGACTAATTAATAACCCTTCTACTTAATCCCTCCATCTTAACCATAACCATTTGCCAACAAATGTTTCTTCATACGTGGGTTGCTAAAAAAAGCTTAGAAAATCATACCTAGATTCCTTTTCCATCTTTCATTTTTCACTCTATTTCTGTATATTCTGATTACTGCATATTCTTGTCTTATGGAGGGAAATTAGTTCTTCTTAATTCTGTGCTTTCTTCAATCCCTTTATATTTCATGTCCTTCTACAAATTGCCAATTTGGGTGACAAAAAAAATTGATAAAATCAGAAAAGGCTTTCTTTGGACAGGATCTGATAAAGCAAGTGGCTTCAAGTGTCTAGTCAGCTGGAGAAAAGTTTGTTTAAACAAATCAGAAGGAGGATTAGGAGTTAAGGATATCCATCTATTTAATATTGCCTTGCTATCTAAGTGGCTTTGGAGATGTCTTGATCATCATTCAATTACTGGAAATTTCATTCGTCAACTGTATTGTAACAGAGGTCAATCCCTTCAAATGACAATTTCAGGAGCATCAAATTCTCATTTCTGGAATGCCATCTTATCCTTTAAGCATGAGTTTCTTCATAATATATTGTGGTCTTTGGGTCTAGGTGACACAATCAGATTTTGGGAAGATAAGTGGACTGGTTTCAACTCCATAGCCAGTCTTTATCCTTCTATTTATAAGCTAGCTCTATCTCCAAATGTTACTATCGCTAGTCAAGGATTTCTGAGAGATTCAATTTGGCATTGGAGACCTATCATGAGAAGATGTATCTCTTCTTCTACTCAAATGGAGAAAGATAATCTAATGAATTTTTTAATGGAGTTTCAAATTTCTGTTTCTCCAGATAGTCCTAGATGGCTGCTTACAAGCTCTGGTATTTTCACAGTCAAGTCCTTTTATCAGTTTCTAAACCAAAGAGGTATCCTATCACCTCATTTCAAAGTTACTTGGAAGACCAAAACCCCATCTAGAATCAGTTTCTTTATCTGGCTCCTATGCAGAAACAAACTCCATACCAAGGACAATCTTTTATCTAAGGGTTGGATGGGAGACTCGATATGTATTTTCTGTAGTTCAGAACCAGAAACCAGGGATCATTTGTTTTTCTCATGCACAATATCATCGCATGTCTGGTCTCATTTTAAAAACTACTTTCTTCCTTTTACATGGCCACCATCCTTTTCAGATTTAATACATATCATTAGCAAGCTTCGAGGAGGTGCTGGACACATTTGGCGTGGTTTTTTCTCCTATATTTGCTGGAACATTTGGATCAGTAGGAATAAAAATTTATTTGATAAATCATGTTTTTCCTACAAGAAGATTGTTAATAATACAATATATGGATTATATGAATGGTCAGGTAATGGGCAAGGAGCAGCGGCTAGAGAACTGTCAGCCAGGTTGGAAAAATCTCCTCTTTCTCGAGCAAGTATTTGAAGGCAGAAGATATCTCACTGGATCATTTTATTTTGGCTTATATATGATGTAAATATCTTTCTAGATACCCTTATCTTTTATGTTTTTTCTTGTTGTTTCATAGAAAGTTTAATTTTTATTATGCACATGTATGGCTGGTTTTGGTTCTCCCTTAAATCCGTGTCAACGGGGAATGACGGCAAGACCCTCTCTTCACCTTCATGGATCTTTGGGAGAAGAAAGTTATACATCAATACTAGTAAAAATTCTACCTTTCTATATTACAACCTTTTAGATACTACTTGTGTCTAAGCTTTTGTAACTAACAATCTTTTGTTTGTTTTTGGTTTTTTTAATGAACGGGGTTATAACCCCTGTTTTTCGATCAAAATTTTTTTTTTCACTCTATTTCTCTTTGCAAGACAGCAATGACTTTACTGTGGATTAGACTATACAATGCATTTTGTTGTCAAACTATGATAGAGACCTTTAGCTCTCTCTCCTTGCTACGTACTTCTATCGAGATACTTTCGTCACAGCTTATCTTATATATGCATCTATCACATCAAACTATAGTGAAAAAGGTGCAAATATATGCCCCATCATTTGTGCCATCTTTTTCTCAGGTTCCATTAGGCCTGTCCATCCGGGTCCGCACGGCTCGGCCCGGGTAAAACCGGAGCCTGGACCGGCCCGGTTTCTTTTTTTTTTAATTTTATTTAAAATTTAAATTATACAAAAAAGACAAAAAAAATTAATAAAAAACAATAATTTTATTAATCACTTAAAATAACATAAAGTACAAATAAAAAATAATAAAAATAAATTCT